AAAGTAGGATGTTTTGCCGCCCCCGCCGGACATTGCTCCTTCTGATTACAGACTGATTACTGTTGTTCCGAAGGATTTGGCAAGTCATCGATTCACTTCTTTCGCAGAAATCGAAAATTGGCTCCAAAATTGGACCTCCAAAGATGAGTCATTTTTTCGAGATGGAATTCGAAAATTGCCTGAGAGATGGGAAAAAGTAGTAGCCAGTGATGGACAATACTTTAATTAATCTGTTCATTCATTTGTTTTGAAATTTTGAACACAAAAAAACGGACCGAATTAATTTGTACTCCCAATATATGGCTATGAATGGTAAACAAAAATAATGTCACTTCAATTTTATTAGTACATTCAATAAAGTAATATTAATAACACTTTTCACATCCTACATAACACATGTGTGTAGGAATTGATACATTTAATACAAAAATTCTTATCCATGAAATGAAATGCCCTTTTTACTTCTCTATCCACACCCAGGCACACAACACTTCATGTTGATGCTTTGCACAAGTACACTTGTACACTTTGTACAATTACAGTCAGTACGCGATTTTATAATCTTTCAAATTTTATAATCTTTCGAAGTAATCTTTTAAATATAATTCCACATGATGATCTTGTTGACATATGCGTTTTACTAAAGAACACAAAACATAAGTGCGCATGAGCATCTGAAAGCTGATTCGTTCTTATATTGATCAAAATGGCGCTGATCAATTGGCCACGATTTTCTATGCTTCACAGCAGAGATGCCCATTCCAGTGTATATGTAATTTAGTGGCCTGTAGTAGTTGTAAAAAAAAGATTTTACAATTTGTATGTCTTCAAGTTTCATTGAAATTTTTAAACCTTATTTATTACTTAATAAATAAATATTTGGCAATAAAGTCTTTATATAGTGATAGAGTGAAATCGTATTAATAAAAAAATGTAGAATATATAATATTGTTTAATTACAAAAGTTAAATTTGATGATGGTAAAACCGAAAAGTGTGGAATTCATAATATAAGATGCTCGGAGTAGTTCTAATACGAAGTCACATACTCGTATGTTTTCATGTCCGAGTGACAATTGCTAAGGTATAAATCATTAGAGTAATAAAAGAATAACCGGAATTAACATCAAGTGCCTGTTTCTTGATTCTAACTACCTAAAGATGAGTTCTGGATACAATGTATCGCATGTTCATTTTGCACGCACATCAACTGTGTTTGTTTGTATTTTAGAAATATTAAATTGTGCTTTTTAATTGCAATACTGATGTACTTTGCGCTTTATTATTGATTTCTCGAGGTATCTTATATTATATTATAAGCACAATGTTTTGACTTTGCGATTTGCTCACTTTTTCCATTACTTCAATTTTCAGAAAAAATAGCATTTGAATTAAATTTTACATAACAGTATCTTAAGGTTTATTAAATTCCTTTTAAAGTACCTTATTATTACCTTATACCCTATTATTTTTTTTAATTCTGCCCATACACTTTCAGAATTTACTCAAAATAAATTCGGTATTTCATAATAGGGAACTCTCTTCTATTAACTAATTTAAATAATTCAACTATATCTTTTCTTTTTGCAGCCTCCCTCCAAAAATTATGGGATTACAGCTGGCTCTCAATATTTATATTGTATCAAATTCTCTTTATTATTTTTTCTATTAAGGCGATGCTTGGCGCGAATCTTGCCATGTGTTGTAGAATGATTGTTGTAATGGAACAAGTACGTAATTTTTCAAATCTGTTTATAACATCTTAAATTACGACGTTAAAAGCGAAATGTGAATTTCCTTTTTACAAAATATACGCCGCAACAAATCAATTTTGTCGTTTTAAATGTTTGATAGTAAAAATAAATAAAACGATAAACAAAATAAATAAATAAAATGTTAATGATTTCTTCTTATTGTTGAAGACATTAACTTAATTTATTTCCAAATGTGTTTGAACAATTCACATAAATAAAATATTTTTTATTATTTTATATCAACATTATTTTTCTACTGAAAACAGTGTTTGCTTCTTTAGGTACGCATGATAATGAAGAGTTACGCTTTCGTCAGAAGCGTAGCACCTAGATTTTTGTCATATAAACCTCACAGCGAAACTCCGCCACCGAATGAGCCCAAATTTTCACAATATTTGTATTTCTTTTTCGCACCGACTCTTGTGTATCGCGATGAATATCCCAGGTAAAGCTATTTCATAATTTCTTTGAAAAAAAATAACAAGCTTTTAATTATACAATAAAAGGGATAAGCTACGTAATTATTAATTATAAAATTTATTTTATTACTTAACAGTAATGGCTTTATATAACTTTAGAAGAATTTCCAAGTTCGTTCGCGAAATATACAAGCAATATAATCCTTAATCCTTAATCCGTTGATAAAGCTTAAAGGTTCATTGTGATACTTAAAAGATAATATAGTAATACTGCTATGTTGACTATATTAAATTGAGAGACTTTAAAAAAGGTCTGTTTGAGATAATTCGTTTTTTTTTTTAGAACAGAAAGAGTTAGATGGATGGTGGTAATTCGTAATTTAGTGGAATTTGCCCTAACGATCTTCTATCTCACCTTTATCTGGGAAAGTCTGGTGTCACCTATCTATCGCGTATTTGGCACACAATATCTGGATCGGATGTGGTTAGTCAAGAATATCATCAAGACTTCTATTTCTGGCATTCTCTACTTAGCCACCTCTAATTATCTCCTGCTTCACACGTGGATGAACGCTTGGGCGGAAATGTTGCAATTTGCCGACCGATTGTTTTATAAAGTGAATATACCTTTTTAATAAACTATTTCATAATAATTACACGTAGAATCCCCAAATATATTACATGTAATATATCTTACTGTCATGGCTTTAGTATACATAATATGTACAAGAATCTGTGCCTCTATCCTTATACAAGTAACGTAGCTGGAAGTTTGTAGCTGTAGAATTACCCTAAAGCATTTTGCTAGAGATGTGCAAATTATTGAAATACGAATCGAATTGAATCAAATCAGTTTTTTTTATATAAATATAATTTTTTTATTCACATATTAGATTTCAACTGACAATTATATTTTTAAAAAGTAAAAAGTTACAGTTAAATTCAAATTCGATTCGGATTTGATTCATATTAAAAAAAAATGATTCAAAGAAAGCCTTGATTTACACATTTTTATATTTTGCATAGTAATTTCATGAGAGTAAGGTTTCAGGATCGAATATGCATCTATGCATTAAAAATAACTAATAATATAAATAAATATAGACATTTTGTGTAAATGTCTGGACACAGATATATGTCTGGTCACTGAAACATTTACCTTGCAGTTTCACAAGGCAGATATTTTTCTCAAACAAGAGAATTCTGATATGATATATCCAATTCCAATAACATTCGAAAACTAATATAGATTATTCACTTCCGTAAACTGCAGTTTCATGAATTATTGTATCGCTTATGTTACAGGACTGGTGGAACAGTACGACTTACCATATGTACTTCCGCACATGGAACGTGATAGTGTACGACTGGCTGTACACGTATATCTATAAGGACATGTATGAAATCGTGGTGCCATATCGCATGTTGTCAGCTACTACTGTATTCTTCACCTCTGCCATCGTCCACGAATACATATTCGCGTTTGCGTTTGGCTTCTTCTACCCTGTATTATTTATCTTATTTATCACTGGTTTTTTCATATTTTTCGTTCGCAAAACTATCAATAACAATCTTCTTATTTGGTTGACCTTGAGCCTTGGCACTAGTATCCTATTCAGTCTGCAGACGATAGAGTTTTATGCGAGGCTGTTCGCCTCATCCCAATTATTACGTAGACCTGTTTATACCGCGAAGCTGGAACTGTTAAAAAATGATTAATCTCATAGATCTTTCCCATTTGCATAAGCAAATGATTAAGATTATTTAAAAAATATGATATTTCCGTTCTGCAGTCAGAGACTACTTTTAAGAACTAAATTAATACAAGTTTGTGTTAAATTGAACAGAGCAGAAATTTGTTTGTTGACACAATTGGCAATAATAGGATTAGTGAGGATTTAGATTCAATTGCTAATAAAGGATAATTCATTCATTGAAAATGCACAATCTTAATTTAGTTTTTAAAACTTTTTTTTTAATAAAATGAAAGTAACTGTAACTTTTCTCCAAAAGAGCATCTTTACTGAACCGTTGGGTAGAATCTAAATACATAATATATCTAGATACACATATGAAAATACATTTTGTGTATCTAAAACTATATCTGAGATACATTCGAATTGGAATATCTGTGACTAGATACAAAATACTGCAATATCTAAACTGTTTTTCAGATACACTTTCACGTACTATTTTCTGCCTCTAGTAAGAAATTTATATTTATGTTCCTTTTGAAAATTATTTTTGATCTAATTATTATTCGATCGATGAATTAATGCCTTTGTGAGCCACTGACTCTCGGTGTGAAATATTTCCTTTATTTAATCTCTCATACAAAATCCATACATTTCGATCCTTTTCAATGTCAGAATTTACATTAGCGAAATTATTGTGTTTCCTGATACACTATACAATAGTAAATGAAAACATTACAATATATTACTAACAAAAGCAGAATATTAATTTAATACTTAAATTAAAAGGTCTTTTGATTTACGAGCGATTTTTTAGGATTTCTTTTGGAGAGGAACGATTAGCTTTCTTCTAATTATTTATAATTAAGTGGACAAAGATTTATCGGATAAAACTGGTTTAATTCAATAAAGAATATGGACAGATAAATACAACTATCTTATCATTTCTATCGGAACAAAAGTCAACAGCGTGTTTGTTTTTTATAAACAGTCGTCGTTAAGAGATGCCCATGACCATGTGCTCGCCTGCGATGCGCCGAGAGTGAACGAGCTCCTTATCACACTTGTTTCAAGCGACCGAAAATGCTTTCTCTGCAATTTGCAGCCGTTCGGCACTGATCGCCGAACGAAAGTGCATGAAGCAGAGGCTATAGGCGTGTCGTACGGAACAGCATTTAATATTTTGCATGATAACTTGGGAATGAAAAAGCTGTCGGCCTGATGGCCGCGATTGTTCACAATGCACCGGCTCACTTCTCCGCAGCCGCCACAGCCAAATTGGTCGAATTGCGCTACGAATTGCTGTCGCATCCACCGTACTCTCTGGATTTAGCCCCCTGTGACTTCTTCTTGTTTCTAAACTTGAAAAAATGGCTCGGTGGAAAAAAATTCACGTCTAATAAGGTCATCGTCGAAACAGAAGCTTATTTTGCAGAGTTCGACAAATCGTATTTTTCTGAGGGGTTAAAAAAATGGCAGAAGCGTTGGAAAAAGTGTATCCTCCTAAAAGGGGATTACATTGAGAAATAAAAAAGTTTTGTGAAAAGCTTGCGTCTTCATTACTAACACGGGTACTTATTGATTTGTCCTCATACTTAAATATGGTATTATAAAAAACTTTTTCTTTAAATCGGAATTAGAATCGTTTTCATTATTATTACACTCACTTTTATTTTTATCTAAATTAGTTCTATTTTCTAAAGTTTTAATTTAATTCTGTTTTTTATTGTTGAAAGAATGAATTCAAGAGGATATTCAAGAACCATTCATTAACAGAGTGTGAATTAAGTCAGAAATATTTTTTTCTTGAAATTTTGAATGGGATAAAAACAATATTCTGTCTAATTGCCGATGATTACACTTCTTTTATGCACTAATGGTTTCTAAAGCAAGATCTCTCTCACACTTAATAAATAATTCTAGAACAATCTAAACTTTTTACATATACCATATATAAATAGCGGTAACATATACTATATGACGAATAATAATACACAATGTCACGATGAATTTCCATCTGAAGAAAATGCTTAATATTCATCATTTTGTCTGTAAAACAGGTAATGATTCAATCCTCATAAAATTGACTAGAAGATATTAACGATAGTTTAATTTTTAAATTAGAATCTGGAAATTCTTGTTCTTCTACATAACTTGCAATATAATTGGCGCTGCAACATTATTATACGATGCATCTTCACAAGATGAAAGAACACGTTTATATATACTTATATTATATGACGGCTGAATTCAATGTCAGATATATGTAAATTCTACGTTTTACTAATATTTGTGACTTTACTGAAGATGACCAGATTATGGCCGAAACGTCTAAAGATTTTTTATTAATGTAATGAAGAATTAAATTTCACAAACAACATCCAGTGCTGTGGTTTCATGCTTTTTTTATTTATATGTTTTCCAAATTTGTTCGCGAAATATACAAACAACATCATAATCCTTAATAATTCAATATGATGATATAGCTTAAAGTTTTATTGTTATTCTTAAAAGACAACTTAATAGTATTGCTATGTTGGCTACATTAATTGAGAGAAAAGATTTATTACATTAAATTAGATAAACATTTATTTAAGCATAATTGGTTTTTTCAAGGACAAAAAGGGTTAGGCAAATGGCGGTAATTCGTAATTTTTTTGCATTTGATCTATCGATCTTCTATCTCGCCTTTATCTCGGAAAGCCTGGTCTATATATTCGACACGCAATATCTTGATGGAAGTAATCAAGAATACCATTAAGTTTAGTTTCCCGGGCATTTTCTACCTTGTCACCATAAATTATCTCCTGCTGCACGCGTGGATGAATGTTTGGGCGAAAATGCTGCAGTTTGGCGACCGATTGTTTTACAAAGTGAGTATACCTTTTCAGAAATCTATCTCACAAAAATTACATGTAAAATATATGCAAATATATAATATTTCATGTAATATATCACACTATTATACATAGCTTCAATGTACGTAATGCGTAATACATAAAAAATCTGTGCTCCTCTTTTTATAAAAGTAACACAAGCTGAGTTTGCAGCTCTAAAATTACCTAAAAACATTTTAGTAAGTAACATTATCATTCTGATCGTGATTCTCACACATTATCAGTTTGATCATGATTCTCACAATCAGTGAAAATGATCAACTCAACCACACAAACTCAATTCAACTTAGTTTTCGAAGATGCTAGATTATATGACTTATTCATTTCAGATTTTTCGTATTTTCTTGTAAGAAAACTTTCTCTTGAATTGATTAAGAAAAAGCCAGTTTTCAATTGGATGAATGAATTTAAATATGGTCGTACATCTATATGTGATGCATCTTGTTTGGGACGTTCAATTGAGACTGCTACGTTAAAAATCATCGATAAAGTCCACGATATTGTTTTGACTGATCGATGAATGAAAGTGTGCGAGCTTGTTGAGGCCACAGGCATAGTTTTTTGGGATAAACGCGATATAATTCATATCGCTTACTTTCCGTCGAAGCAAACGATCAATGGCGATTACTACGCAGCCTTATTGGACCGTTTCAACATTTCAAAGAAAAAACGTCCCCATTTGGCGAAGAAGAAAGTGCTCTTCCATCAAGACAATGCATGGGTTCATACGTGTCCGGCACCGATGGCCAAATTCAACGAATTCCGCTACGAATTGCTTCCCCATCCAGCATATTCACCAGATTTAGCTCCCTGCAACTATTTCGTGTTTCCAAACCTGAAGAAATGGTTCGGAGGAAAGAGATTCACCACCAGAGAGCAGAAACAGAAGCTCATTTTGAAGGATTGGACAAATCATATTCAGACGACTTGAAAAAGTTAGAGAATCGTTAGATCAAGTGTACCGAGCTGAAAGGAGACTATATTAAGAAATAAAAATGAATTGATAAAAAAAAATGTGTTTTATTATGTTTTTCTAAAAACTTATTGATTTGCCCTTGTATAATTTGTACCGTGAATCAATTCACATTAATATCTCATCCTTGATTTTGAAATCTTTTAGACAGGCCCGTAAAGTGAGACAAAATTTTTTAATTTTATTCAGTAGTTTTCTATTGTGTAAAAATTACCAAACTTGCAGAGAAACTCAAAAGACAGAATGACTTTTCGAAAGTAAAGATTTTAAGAGGATCCTAAAGCTGTTTATATTACCGACTAATCATAATTTTTGTTTAACAATTACTTTTTTCCTCTTTTACACATTCAAAACTCCTTTTCCAAAATTAAGATATACGCATTAATACGTGTCTGTGTGGTGGAAATTATTCCAAGAACGACAAAAAATTTCGAAATTGAAATCTTAAGAAATTGAAATCTTTTTTGTCGTTCTTGGCATAAACTTCACACTGCGTATACTTTAATTGTTAAATTAAATTGTTATTTAATTGGAAAAGGATTTTCGAATCAATAAAAGAGGAAAAAATAATTGTTGTACAAAAAATATAACTTTAATTTTGGAAAATCTTTTTTGTTAGGTATTCGATCACAATTTCGCAAACTCAGGATTGTTCATGTCATACGTTTCCGGAGAAGGTCATCATCATTTGGTATACCTACAGAATTTCTGCATTAAGGGAATTATAACTTGAGATGACAGCTGTGAGAATCAAAATAAAATGAACTTTTAATTTTTTTCCCCGATTTTTCAAATTTAATGTGGCCGATATTTTTTTCGTGTGTACTTTTATTGTGTAAAAGGATTTGATGATCTATAAAATCAATTCGGAGAAATTGGCAATCTGCAATTGTCGGTAATTCCTGTTGGTTTAAGATCCCCTTAAGATTTAAAATCCTTTTTTTTTTAAATTTAAATTTCATTCATTTTGAACGAAGTCAGCTTGAATTTTAAAAATCGTAGCGCTACGGATTTTTGTTCCGACCCGAATTCGTATATCATATACACGTGTATATAAAAATTGATTCGCCCTCGGATCTGGAGCACCTAGTCGAGCGTATGTAGGTATGCATTTACATCATCAAAATCACAGGTCACTCCTCGCGCTGTTAAGATATTATGGCATACAGTGGCAGAATAATAATAGAGTACATACCGCTCGATGCAAAAACCGATTGCAGTGAATGCATTTCAATTGCTTTAATTGCTTTCATTATCCGGCGATTACGCACAAGATCTGATTATCCAATTATATTATTATTATCCTATTAAACATAATGATAACGTAATCAATGCGCGCTTGTCATGCGTTCTTACAGAAAGTCGACAAATTTTTTGCCAATTTTTTGCCTATAATCTTAATTAAGTTGCTGATAGCAAAAGAAACAGATTCTTCACGCGTTAATTGTTTGAATTCTTGCCACATTTGACCTATAAAAATTGCACTCGAGCTTGATAATCAAAAAATCATTGAGTCATAATTGAGAAATTAATATTTATAAGTAGTATTCAGATAGCATAAAGAGTTTAAAAAGAATTCAGTCGCATATCATCATTAAGAATTAGGTGCTAATTTATTAAGATTCATTTCAAACCGAATAAAGTAATTTTTTACTTAGTTGTGTATTTACATGTCGGTCTAATGTCATTTATTGCACTTTAGAAATATTCTAATTATTTTTTTTAACATAAATATTTATAATCATAAAAAGAAACCTCATATATTCTATTCATTTTGATGATTTTATTTAATAATATTAATGTATTATATAATATTTTATATGTTAAACAATATGAATAAATTGCTTGTATACGGCCTTTGCGATTATTGATGCGTAATATATTCATAAGGCGATAATTTCCAAGTAATAGGTACGTAGTTTGTACTTGATTTCCGCACTGAAGAGAATTCAAATACAAAGTCGAATTGTTTATAGTTAACTCCGTTTTGGAAGTGCATTTCAATTGTTTGCGAATTACATTTTATCGCCTTGTATCAAATATATTATATTATTTACGCATCAATAACCATGGAGGTTTAGTTTACTTACACTTGAGACTCTTATATTTATTCTTGGAGCAATAAGACTATTTTTTCCCCTTTTATTTTTTATACAAATATATGTGGAAATCACAGCTTTCGCCACACGTGTAACAAATAAAGTTTTTAAGAGAAAAGCTTCCTTATTTTTTTTATAGAGAATGCCAGCGATTGACATAATCATAAAAAGATGGTAGAAAAAAAATTTGAAAGACCTGTATCAAGAGTTCTTTATCGTTTATCACAATATGCGCATGCACTTGTCGCATACACTCACATCGTATTACGGAGGAGGTTTAAAGGTCAAGCAAATCATAAGAATTAGTGTAGGTCATCCAAGTAACTCATTGTCAATATATATTTAGAATTTTTTTAGAGCGATTTAGCTAATTCATTAAAACTCGGTTTCAATGAGAATTATCAGTAACTGACCCTTTAATTTAGTTACTGACAGAATATTAAAATTTACTAATGTAAACTGATTCAAGATCATCAGTTTTTGATACAGCTAATTAATTAGTAATTCTTTTTTTGCTGGCGTATACACTTATTGTTTTGCGACGCGTCAATGAAATTCGAAACGACAAATTAATTTA